AACCCTCACTGAAATAATATGGGGATTTACTTTCTTTAATCCTCAGAAAGTCCCTCTTGCTACCTGGTTTCTAAAACAGACGAAAACACAGATGACATCAGGTTGGATGGCACGGGGTGTCTCACCACCAGGGGCTCCGGCAGGTGTGAGACAGACAGGTTGAGAAAAGATGACACTATTTCTGTCATTAGAAGATGAAAACCAAGGAGGAGAAATGACAGCAGAGGCTGAGCGCCGGGTGGGGCGGGAAACCTGACACCCTGCCAGCTGTTGGCCTTTTGGGTGAACTCCGCTTGTCTAGATGGGAGACAAGGAGCTCCCTCCTGCAAGCTCGGTTGATCCCCTCTCAGATATCACCATGCAAGGTGCCCCCAGGGCCTGGGAAAGCATGGGATGCGGCTGCGCCGGCTCCACGGAGCCCCCCGGACTTTCCAGACTGCATTTTGAAATCTATTTGCTGACAGCAGCTCTGGCTCAGCCCGCGCAGTGGGGGCAATCCCCGCTCACACGTCGCGCACATAGCATCTGCGATCGAGGCCAGCCCAGCTGCGTCCGTAGCACCCAGGGTCCAGATGAGAGCAGAGAGAGACTCCACCCCCAGTGGCTGGTGCAAGAGGCCAAGTGAGTCATTAGGCCTGACCGGGGACCATGTCCCAGGGTGAGGTGGGAGGCCTGGGGACAGAGCGCACTGAGAGACACCGTGACTCACATTTGGACCCCGAGGGGAAGTTCCGTCTGTGAGCCCTGTGGGTGGCTCTGCTGCCCCGGGTGAGGTCATCTCTACGGCTGCTCAGAACTGGGACTTGCCTCTTCCTCCCAGCACCCTGCTTTTCACTCCCAATTATGGTTATGGCAGAAATCCTCATTTTAGCCACAGTGCCTCTCCCCGACCCACCACACACTCATGATGGATAGACCTGAGGAAAGAGCGTGTCCTCCCTGGGTGTCCGATTTTTTCATCTGTAAAAATAGTTTTTCCTCCTGATGACCTCACACAGGAGCCCTTGGGGCCAAAAGGCAGTGAATAGGACAGTCCTCTGAAAGGACACAGGAGACATCAATGCAAACTGCAAGTTGGTCCTGGTATTACTGCTCCCAACTACTGCTATGTGGACCCCGCCGCTGGGCCACCTTCTTGCTCCCTGGATGACTGGTCTGCAAGAAGGAGCACGCAGGGTGATGGGCAGGAAAGTGTCCCCGGCAGAGCCAGTGCCCAGGAGCGTGGCAGAGTCATTCAGAAATACACTCCAGCTTGGGGAAATACGCAGGTAAAGACACCACCCCGCCCACTGTCTTTTCCTATCGCCACAGGTTTCCAACAGCACGTCCACATTTTTAAGGTTTCACAGGTGGAAGGGTGTTCTGGCCATGGTCCTCAGCCAGATCTTTGCCATATGCATGAGTAACAGAGAAGTAGCCTTTGGGGCATGAGGCATTCCCTTAGGCTCAGTGTCCGTGCACTTGGCATGAGAGGGCATTTGCTAACAACCACCAAGACCAGGTCCTCCTGGAAGCTTTCCAAGAAAGGCACATTGTTTCAGATGTGAGCCCTGGGGCACCCTTGGCCTGCCCCAACTTGATGGTCACTGTGAACGCAGGACAGGAAGGACAAAGGAGGAAAGAGGCATTCCTGCAATTGTCAAGTTCCACGTTCTTGGAGAGACGAAGAAGATGAGAGGCAGGCGAGGAGGCTGCCAGGCAGCAAGGAAAGTCCCCGAGAGGGCTGTGGGGAGACCATGAGGGGTGACCTTGAGTAGTGCTGACCACTCTCAGGGATCCCTTGGGAGCAGCCTGCTCCCACCACCCTGACCCAGTTGGAGCAGGAGAGCAGGGCGGCTGGGCTCACGCCTCCTGTCAGTGCCCCCCTTGCCCTTTATGTTTGCTCTTTCACTTTTCTTTGCCGCTGAACCTACAGCCTGCCAGGCTGACACTGGTGGCTTCACAGACACAGAGGAGCAGAGAGCGGCCCTTTCATTAAGAGGCATTTCTGAACTAGGCAATCACAGTTGGTAATAACCAGCCCTGAGAAGTGCCACCATAGCTTTGCAGCTCTTCGCCACCACAAATGTCACTCCGTTGTCACATACATGTGACTGGGCATGACAGAGTAAATACCCTCAGTACCCCTGTGGCTGCATACTCACCCCTCAGCTGCCCTTCTCTCAGTTTCACACCAGCCCCTAGAAGGTGGGATCACACGCTTCTCTCAAAATCCTGCCTGGCTCCCAGTTCCCTGGGCAGGAGCCCTGGTGGCCCCTGGGCCCCCAGGCTCTCCCTGGTCTCATTCCCTAGCTGCTCCCACTGCAGAAAGCTCTCCCCCAAAATGTTCAGGGGCCTCTCTCCCTCACCTCCTTCAAGCCTGTACTCAGAGGGCACCTTCTCAATGAGGTGTCTGCCCTACTCAGTGCTGTGACCTGCCCTCTGTTCCCTGCCCAGCATAGGAACTGTCTTTCTTGCCCATATTTCTGGGGATTCTTACATACCATCACCTTCATATATTCTAGATAATTTACTTATTTACTCTTTTGCTGTTTATTCTCTCCCATACCCCCTGCGTAGAAGGCAAGCTCCATGACAGCAGGATCATGTTCTCTGCCTAGAGCAGCCTGGGCACATAGTAGGTGCCCAAAAACTACCTGTCAGATAAACAAGTACATGAACAAATGAATGCACAGGTCACTGTCATTCTGATGGGGAAAAGGCTGTGCACGTTATGGAATGAACTGGTATTCAGGTGGGGGTCAGGTGGGAGGGAGGGGGCTGGCTAAGGCAGGGAGTGTTTTCAGAAAGGCAGTGCCCACAATCGACCTGGAAATGCCCGTGGGGTCACTCATTAACGCCATGCCCCCAACTCACACACACACAGTCGAGGTCACCCAGACCCAGACCAGAGCTAAAGAGTAACTGCAGCCACTGACTCCCCTTTCCAGGCCCATCCTCCACCCTTAATCCACACCACCACTTGAGTGCCTGGTCTGTGCAGAAAATGAGCAGTAAAAGGAGGAGGAGCCCCCCAAGGAACAGGAACATGACCCCCCTTACCCCCCTGTGGCTCTGGGCCCCTGCTGGGCATGCAAAGCCGACAGGGCAGCTGAAGCCCTGCAGGTGAGTTGAGGTCCAGGTCCAGGGGCCAGGGCCACAGCCCCTGCAGTTGTGGGGTTTTGAGAAGGTGAGCACAGAGGGTGGCATGGGAGGGTGGGTGAGCATTGGCAGGGTGTGGAAATAGTCCAGTCTTGGGCTAAGGTAAGCTTGGCTGAAAGGATCCAAATTTGAGTGGGGTTGGTAATGATAAGCCTGAATGCCCAGCGAGACTGGGTGCTGGGATAACGGAGAGAGAGCCGGGCCAGGGCTGTGGGCTTTGGTTTTGTTTGGTTACCGGAAAGTGACAGGATGGATACTAGGTTTAAGAAAGGGGCTTAGGAAAGACATAGAAGAATTACGTTGGGAAAGAAAGACTGCATGTCACAGCTGGGAGTCCCAAGTAAGTATTCCAGGTGGTGCTACCAAAGTCAGAACCAGCGGGGTGGCTGGGAGAAGGGAGGGGAAGGGTCAATGCAGAAAACCGAGGCACAATTGTCAGGCTCAGTATTCTTGCAGATAGACACCTTCCTTCTAAGTGATCTGTGTGGAATAGATACATGAGGAAGGTACCTAACGGATAGGACATCTATTATGGTCTAGACTTTTCATTAACTATATTCTCTCATTTAACTCACAACCTCCCTTGAGAACGGGGGACGAGCATTACCATTTTACAGACGAAGAAATTAAGCCTTAGTAATTTACCCAAGGTTATAATCCAGATTCGATAAGAAAAAATACAATATAAAAACTTATTTTATGCTTAATGCATCCTGGCACTGCGCTAGGCAGTTAACCCTGTGTATTCTCCGTTTCAGATCACAGCATTGCAGAGACGATCTCTATTGTCCCCCCATTTTACATATGTGGAACCTGAGGCCAGGAAAAGTGAAGGTCATAGCCCATAGTCACAGTAGGAAGAAGCGGTGGAAGCAGGATTCGAACCCAGGCCTTCAGAGTTGATGCTCTTTGCCGCTATGCTAGACCGAGTGTGGCAAGTTTACACGAGCTGTCCAATTGCAATGCCCCGCTTTACATCACACAACACTCCCTCTCCCGGGCTCTGGAGGAGGAGGAGCAGAGACCATCTCTGCCTCCGATGGAAACTGCCAGCTGCCTCAGTGGTACTGATGCATAGTAAGACTGAGATTTGCCAGCAGCACTGTGACTACTGTAGATGGCAACATCTGGCAGCTACAGGCAAACCCAACCCCTGTACTCAGGGGGCGGCCCCTTACCCCATATCCTGCTTTATTAGGACCAGACTTCAGCCGGCATATTCCAGAAAGCCCCAAGAGCCCCTTTTAATCCCTTGGTAAGTCTCTGTGCTCCTGAAGGTCAGAAGGTACAATCAATATGTTCCTCTGTCTCCTGGACCTGCAGGCTTTGAGTTTCCTATCTGATGGCCCTCCCTACACACCGTAGGACCTCCGTGCCCTGCACGGGACCCCGCCTACAAAGAGCAGGCAGTAGGAGCTGACGCACAGCGCACCGGGTGGCTGGAACAATTCACTGACACTTGGAATGGAAAGAGGACGCAGTTGGGGCTCTGGCTTTGAATTGGCTTCTGCATTAATTGGGCGACCTCGGGCGAGTGACTGTACCTCAGTTCCTCATCTGTAGATTGGGTATACGGTGGCTGATGCGCAAGTGTGAGAGGTGAGAATGAGTTCACAGAAGCAGAAGCTGTGAGGACCTACTGAACCAATCGCAAGGACTTAGTACTCATGAACCCGGGTCTCTGGACCTTTTGTGACGCCTCACTGCCCAGGCTCCTGCCTGCCGCTCACCACTCTGGGCTCGCAAGCATGTGTGTTAGGGATGCCCAGGCAAGGGGGTATGATGCAGAAGGAGCAAAAGCCCCCAAACCAGAAGGGCACAGGGGTGTGGCTGTGCTCGAATTGCCATGTGCAGCTCACCTTTTTTCTTGTCCTTCTTTCCTGGTTCAAAGCACCAACCCAGGTCAGCCACGAACCTCTGATTTCACCTAGAAAAAGAAGGGGAGAGTTACGCCAGGAAACACGATAATAAAACTCATCTCCAAGCTTACTATGTAGAGCAAGTGGTCTCTGAGTGCCAGACAGCCTCCTAAGGACATAAATAACAATCGTTTATCCTCTAGTAATATAGAATAAAACTCCATGAATTCAGAATAAAGGGAGCAATCCAGTTCCTTTGTCAGCCATGAACACAGCAAACTGAAGAATACTTTCACATAAATATAGGTGATCACCGAAATAATCTAGACCTAGAATAAACTAAGACGTAAATGGTGATGACACTGGGTAGTAACTTTTATCAGTTATGGCAAAACTTAAATTCACAGTAGTCCTTTACTACAAAGTCATCTACAGCCACAGTCCTGAGTTGTTCTGTTTTGAGGAGGCTGTTTACTGAGACTCCTAAGATAATCTCTCTGAATTTTTCTATGTTTTGACCTTATGGGATGTCTGAATTTATTAAATGGGGAAACACATGTGAAACATCTAGGTCTGTGCCCAGCCCCTATCATACACTTAATAAATAGTAGCCATACATTGATTAATTTTACTCCTTTGTGGGTTTCCAGGGTGCAAGGCTATTCCATACTATCTAGACGATTCCTGAGCAAATAGCCACAGTTACCAGCATAGCCGATCTTGCTGCTAAAATAGATATTTAATCTTCAAATCTGACCTCTGTTCACCAGACACCAGGAAGAATAGTATTTCAAAAGGTGTTTAAAGATAATAGCCCCATTCTAAGCTTCCCCATCATTAGGCTCAAAGAAATCACTCTAGGCCCTTAGGTTGGCAAATGAAAACAGAGAAAAGAAAGAAAAAGGGGAAAAACAATACCATCAGATTTGAAACAGAAAACTTATAACCTTCACCCACAAAGGAAAGGATTGTTTGGGTGGCATTTTGTTCTTGTGCTGGACGCACGCCTACATCATCTCAGGGCTTCGGTCACACCCGTGGTTTCTAGAGTCACAAAGGACAGGGGATGGGCAAGAACTCTGCGGCCAACCCCATCACCCAATGCCCACCAACCAGAATGGGGGCCTCTTGCGCTACAGCACCCGCTGCCCCAGTCCTGGAGAGATGAGTTTGCCAGGCCCGGCTTCCTCTACGACGCCCATGAACTTATCCCAAGAACAGCCTCGAATGCAATCTAGGCCTCTTGCCTACAGTAGGGCAAAGAATTCAACAATTTCAGTTCTGATGAACCGTGCAATACTTGGGACCTAACTAGACAACTAGCAAACGCTAGCAAAGTCACCAGAAAGAAGCAAACAGAACCGTAAGATACCCTCCAACTCTGGTACCAGGATAGGTTCAGTTTCTGTTACCACTAGGTTATCCCACGCCCAACCCACGTTCAGTTTAGGCGAGAAGCATCCTATAAACTCATCCAAGCTACAGCCTAGCTGAGCAGAAGCGGTTCCAGCCTTATGCTCCCAGGGGAGATGGGAAATCTAACACAAGTAAATCTAAACTCTGCCCCTGTGAGAAGGGGTTAGTGGGACACTAGAGGGAATCTTCTTTAAACCCTAAGGTGGAGGGGGGACGAGATAAGGAGGGGAGGGAGAGTTCCTACAGCCAAGGTTCCCCGGCTTGGCTACCCACTGAAATCACCACCTCCCTCCCCTGGGCAACTGCAAAGTCATCCTGAAGCCTGGGGTCCCACACATAATGGTTCTGATGGGTATGAAGAGAAGCCTGGACTGGACACTTTTTTTTTAATGTTTTTAAGTTCCCCAGATAAGTGCAATATGCAATGAAATTTAAGGATCATCTGGAGAGCTTGTTAAAATTCAAATTTGGTAAGTCAGGGGTGGCAACCAGAGATTGCCAATGCTGGTGGTTCACAGAACACACTGTGTAGCCAGGGCTTAGAGGGGTCCCCTCAAACACCCTCCTAATGCTCCCTCCCCAGAAACCTCAGGCAAACTGACCTCATCCCAAATATCCCTCCTGGGGTGGAAACCACCCTGCTCCAGGAGGCCCCAAGACCTGCCCAGCTGGCCTCTGGAGTGACATCTCACCAGATGGGTGAGTGCAACATCATTGACAGCCCAAGAGACAGCTGCCTCCCCCCACCAACTCTTCCTGCAATTAGGTTCTAGGCCTTCCAACCTCTGGCCTGAAATGCCCATCTAACGACCACTGCATGCAACAGAAAGGCCTATTTCTGCTCTGCCTCTTAAAATAAGTAGGGGTCTTTTTCCCCTTTGCATTTCATGTTCAAATTGGCCATCAGGGCCAGGCAAGATGCCCGGCCTCCCAGGAGCCTGGGTGGACCATGGGTCCTGTCCATCCTGGCCCACAGCACACGGTCTTCAACATCTGCCAGAGCTGCACACACCCGTCCCTGCTGCTTTCACAGCCTCAGCGCACACCAGGGACGGGCAGGGAGCAGATGGCACTCCCTTGGAAAGAGACCAAAAGCAGCATACTGCCCCTGACCCCAAACCTCAGAGGGAGGTCAGAGCCTGCCCCGAGGTCCCTCCCTTCCCCCTGCAGTCCCCACCCTCCCATCTCCAGGGACGCCTTGAGACAGACTCCACCTGGCGGATCTCAGCCCAACCATCTCCAACCAAGACGGAAGGGCCTGGTCCTCCTGAAAGCCTCCCACAGAGGAATTAAAGGCCAGCAGGTGAGGCCACAAGAAGCCATTAGCCTGGGACACGTCAGTCCCACCCCGACCAGCTGCCTTCTCCTAGAAGTGCACCACTACACGGAGCCGTGCTGCCTGCAGGAGGCCCCTGCCACAGAAGACCACGGAGGGAAGGGAAAATCAGTGGGACAGGACATGGGATTTCAGCGCCCGATAGGCGAGAGCCCCCTCACTGGCCAAAACGAAGGCTGCAGTGGGGAATTCCTGCACCTTCTGGGTGGGTCCAAATTCAGAGAAGCGTGATGTCTACACCAGGCCAAACCATGGGTCACACAGCAAATTTCTCGTGTACTTTTTTAATGGAGGAAAGGGTTCATGAAGACAGGAGTGCCTAAGGCCATAAGCACCTAATTCAGCCCCAAGTTCGCCTACGTCCTGCCAATTTCCAAACTTGCCACCCTTCATTCAGACCCTTGGCTGGATGCCCAATACTGACACCCAATACCATGGCTCTCTCTCAGAGACCCCCCAGCCCAGCCCCAAGACTCTCCCCCAACTGCCTCCCATCCACTCGCTCCTTGAACCCAGGCCCTGTCCCAGGCTCAGCTGCTCTGTCCTGGACACTCTAGCAGCTCCCACCCGGGCTCCTGGCAGGACGGAGCGCACCTCTGAAGTCCACACACACACACACACCCAAACACACGCAGCCCCCTGCAGCATAAACACTGAGCACATATCACACCCAGGCCTATAAAAAACAATTATACAATGTGATCTGGCAGATTAGGGCTGCAGAACTGTGATTCCTACAATGGATTCAAGGGTTAGATGGGCAGGAAAAATTAACCTGGATCTTTATTGGGATTTGCACCCAGGTCAGGATTAGAGTTTACTGATCTTTATTTTCTTGCTGAGAGAGGGTCGAAAGGCTTCTCTCCTGCCCTCCCCACCCCAGCCCAGTTTGGCTTGTACACAAGCAAGCTGCTCAGCAATCTTTCCCACAAACTACCCAACCCCAGTAAAATCAAATACAGCACCAACTAGAAAAGATGACTGATAGACGAATAGATGACTTTTTCACAAAAGGAAAGTTGGGAAACCCAAAGTCCAAGTCAAGGGCTTCATTAGTTGGTATTAACCCAATCGAAGGTTAATGGAAGAACTGAACTGAGGCCCAGAGACCTCCTCTTTGGCCTGGCCCAACTCTGAAATGTTTACCTGGAACTCACTCACCTATACACCTTTCTCTAAATATCCTTTTTCCTTTCTCTCTCTCTCTCTGTCTTTTTTCTCCCTCTCCAAGGAATCTTTCAAGAGGAGGTGGCTATTAACAAGAGTTGGTACCACCTTCTTAGTTCATTCAACAGCTAGAACATCAATGAACTGTTACCACAATGCCAGGGCGGGTTGACATCAACGAGAGTATCCTTCCTCTATGAAAAACAAACACTAGGGTACGGCAGCACGCCTACTCCTCTCTCCTAGTGCACCTTCCTGGGGGCTTCCCCTGGGGAAGACGATTCCCTGAGCACTCGGCCAGGGCTTGAAAGATGAAGCCCTGGTCAATAGACAGGTATATACACCTGCACCTGACGGGCATCTGCAAATGGAAGTCTGTGCGAAATAGGGCGGCGATGTATGCAGAGGCTGAGACAGAAGTTCCCAAGTCAAACGCCAGCGCAATCTACCCATGACATTCTTTAACTGTGCCTTTCACTGAGACTGACCTGCTCAGAGAAAGTGTGTGCTTTCCAGGGTTTAAGTGCGGAGCCTACAGCATTTCTGCTCTTTAATCAAAGTGGCATGGGAACCAAAGCCCACACTGCTCAGAGAAAGTGTGTGCTTTCCAGGGTTTAAGTGCGGAGCCTACAGCATTTCTGCTCTTTAATCAAAGTGGCATGGGAACCAAAGCCCACTACGGATTAGGATTTATTTTATGTGGGCAAGATCACCTCTAAATATGTGCATGGGTGAGTGTGTGTGTGTGTGTGTGTGTGTGTGTGTAGATATGTATATGTGTATCTATTCAAGGAAAATAACATTATGGGAAAATAAGCCAGTTCTAAAGGGCAGCCTTAGACTTAAAACACAGGAAATGTCGTTTCCTTGTGCCTAGTCCCATAAGGATTCTGGTGACCCAGTTCAGAGTGGTGGAAAGGGATGCTGGAATGTGCAAATTTACTGTCAGTTGGATTATAATCTTTGCAAAGAGTTCTAGCCAAATCTCAGTTTCTGATTCCAAAACAGTTAAGACAAGTGTATGTTTTTGGAAAGAGGGAGACAGCCAGATGTCCCTCTTCCTGAACAGTGAGTACGGTAACGTGAGATTCCTCTGAAGAACTACTCATCCTAAGTGTGGGCAGTGGGCATGGAAGATGGAGAAGAAGA